ACTGCCAAACCACACAAACAACCCTTTTGCTGCTCATCTTCTGTTCAACTGCAGCAACTGAACAACTCTGAGCAAAGATGGGCTTCTTCAGCCACTTCTACCACTATCACCACTGCCACCACCACCACCACCACCACAACTACCTCCACCTCTTCCTCCTCTTTCTCCAAGTGATCACCACCTTCTTCTTCCTCTTTTCCGCCTTCAGCCCGTCAAGTCAAACCGTCGAAGCTGGCCACCTTCGCCAGAAGTTGATCACCTTTCCCGGGCAGCTGGATCGCACCCGGCGGACGCTGCCCTCGATGGACGGCTGGCGGCTGAAGGCACGCCACTACACGGGCTACCTGCAGTCACTGAACGAAACGCAGCTTTTCTACTGGTTCTTTGAGTCGCAGCATGACCCAGCCAACGATCCACTCATTCTCTGGCTTTCCGGAGGCCCCGGTTGCAGTAGTCTCTTTGGAGCCATCGGCGAGGTGGCGCCCCTTCGAATGCAGCCCAACGGGACCATCACCGATAACCAACGATACGCTTGGAATCGACGAGCCAATTTGCTTTTCATTGAGTCGCCGGCGGGTGTTGGCTTTAGCTATCGACCTGGAGCTACTAAGTACGAGGTAAAGATCTAAAACACGATATTTTAGTTTCAAAAACTCATATTTTTTTATCTACAGACAAACGACAACGAAACAGTGGCCATCAACTACGCCGCCCTCTGCTCCTTCTACACTAAATTTCCCCACCTCCTAAAGAACACTCTTTACCTAACCGGAGAGTCCTACGCCGCGCGCTACCTCGCCGACCTGGCCACCGAGATTCAGGCCGTCGGCTACCCTGCCTCCTTTGGCGGCATCGCCATCGGCAACGGCAAATTCGACAACGACCTAGAGAACAAGGCCTTCCGCCCCTTCCTCAAGAAGTACCACAACCTGACTGCCTACAGCTACGAGATGAAGGGCAATCTCACCCGGCCCCTCTGGGTGTACAATCTGAAAAAGGACTGCCAAACGGCGACGCCCTTCTCCTACCAGTACCTCTACATACCGGAGACTCGGGAACCGAGTGAAATTCTAAAGTACGAGGAAAAACCTTTCTGTGGAAGCGAAGAGGCCATCCGCCAGTACTTCAGCCGACCTGACGTCCTCGAGGCCCTTCACGTGGACACCGAGCTGAATCCTGAGGAGTGGCGCATCTGCGCCTTCATCAAGCCGGACTTCTTCAACTACACCTCCGGCGAGGAGAACCAACTTCCGGTGATGCGCACCTTGGTCCGCTCCAAGACCAAGGTCTTGCTTTACTGGGGCGACGCCGATGCGGTGACCAACTACTTTGCCGCGTACCTTTTTGTTCGAAAACTGAAGTTCAAGGTCAACGGAACGGAGGAGCTGCTGCGAATGGATGGCTCAGTCTACGGTTCGGCGGAAAGTTTCAAGGACTTNCGTGGACACCGAGCTGAATCCTGAGGAGTGGCGCATTTGTGCCTTCATCAAGCCTGACTTCTTCAACTACACCTCCGGTGAGGAGAACCAACTTCCGGTGATGCGCACCTTGGTCCGCTCCAAGACCAAGGTACTGCTTTACTGGGGCGACGCCGATGCGGTGACCAACTACTTTGCCGCGTACCTTTTTGTTCGAAAACTGAAGTTCAAGGTCAACGGAACGGAGGAGCTGCTGCGAATGGATGGCTCAGTCTACGGTTCGGCGGAAAGTTTCAAGGACTTCCCAAACCTTCTTTTTGTGCGCGTACTCGACGCCGGTCACATGGTTCCGGTGGACGAGCCAGAGGGCGCCCTAAAGCTGATCACTGAGAGGCTGCTCGATCAGGATTCAGTGCGAAAGTGAGAAAAATGGTATAAATGTAAGGACAGAGAAGAGGAAATCATTTTTTGAAAACCAAAAATTAAAAAAAAATAAAATTTGTTAAAGGTCATTTGCCTGATTGGCTGAATTATGAAAAAGTTATAATAGTGCTGCTGCATAACATTTCTGCTTCTTGTCCTCTTGTTTTCACTTTGTCTCCTCTTCTTCATCCTTTTTTGTTCCTCAGTACTCGAGCTAGCACCATCTGCCCCTCAAAGCAGACATAGAAGAAACCGTTCAAGCTAAAAGCCACGAACATCTCCAACCATAGCTGACATTTTAAATTTTTAATCATTTTAAATCATCATAATTTTATTTAAACAAAAAATGCATATTAGTTATACAACATATTTCTCTTGTCAATTTGACATTTGTTTTTTTGTCAGCATTACCTTCTGCCCTTTAACGTCAGCTCTGTAACACACTACTTCGGAGATGCCAAACTTTTGCTTCAGCGTACAGCACACATTTGGTTTGGCTTTAGCAAACCATGGAGTGACCACTTTGGTGATGCACTGCTCCACTTGATCTTCACTACCACGTTCCAGATTTTCTTCCACTAGTCTAGCAGAGCTTTCACCGTCGAGGGTGGGCACCTTTAATTTCCATCCACAGTCAGCGCAGTGGAGAAATGCTAGGTGAAGGGTGACGTTTTTCAGGCTGGGAAAAAATGCTGATAGGTGCAGATCATCAAGAAAAGCGTGCCGAAAGGGAAATTGAAGGTGAAGATAAAAACACAAAAATTGCACTGAAGACAGCTTTGGAAACGGTGTGTTTTGATAAATACGACGTATCGATTCCACTTCAGCATCGATGACTGCGCTTGCTAGGCTGAGCTCAGTCAGGTGCGGCAGTTTGTCCAGCTGAAATAGCGTCCCCATTATCGACAAGTTATGCGTGCCTAGCCAAACGCTTCTCAAGTTGAAAAAGGTGTTGATAAAGTTTATCAAATCAGCTGCCATTCTGAAGAGAGCCGGGTAAAAGGTGCTGAAATGGGCTGCAATTTCTACTGGATAGGAAAAAAGTGACTCATCAACGTGCTTCCCTTTAGTTTTAAAGTTGATCTGCATCAAGTTAGGCTTTGTTCGACCCTGCAAACTGGCCACCCAATGATGGGCAATATTTGGAGGCGAACTAAAGAAAATAAAGTCCAAACTATTGAGGGAGGTGCGAAAGAGGTGTGGCAGGTCAAAAGGAGGAGTTTCGAGGACTCTTGAGGAATCAAATAACGATAAGTGCTGCAGCTTGTGTAGAGAGTCGATGTTTGATATTAAGAGAGGAAACACCGCCTGAAAGGGAGCATTCTTCACATTCAAAATAAGCAGCAGTGTGGTGAGCGTGTCAGTGTACGAGGAGATCAGCCGTGGAAGGTGGTGGAGAAGACTGACATCCTCTGTCTGGTCATCGACAATCACTGCCAGCGTTTGAAGACGAGGAAAGGTGTTGGCAAGAGAAGTAGTCAACTTGCCGTTTAGATGTGCAGCAGTCAGTGTGTAGAAGGGGTTAGCCGCATTGACCAGCAGTTGATTTGCTGTAACGTCTCTAGCTATCTCCTCCCACTGACTTCCTCTACGTCCGATTTGAAGAGTAAGTTCTTTCTGAGCTTTACACATATTCTCAACGGTTGTTTTCCACTGATTGTTCACTTTTTGTACCGCTTGAAGGCGTTCTGCAAGAGGAATTTGCTCAATAATCAGATAAAAACAGTCGGTGTTTAACAGTTTGATCGGTTTCTTCTTTTTTTCAAACCACCTGCTGAACAGTTTTTTCAATGAACCAAAAACCATGGTGAAACAAATGGTAAAAAATAAAACAATTGGGCAGTTGTTGTTGGTTAAGGCAACCGTCACTCGAACTTTTTAGTTTTTCATGTCTCTAATAG